CCCCACTGGGGGTCCTGTCCTGTCTCACTTCTCCACTGTCCTCCCGTGTCCAGCTGCCCCTTGGGGCACCCTGTCTGGTTAGTACCTCCCCTCGTTCTCTACGAACTTGGTGAGTGGTGCGGACCTGCAGGATGCGGGGGTTCACCAGTTCACTCCTGCGAGTCAGCGGGTGACCCACTGCACGGACGCACGCACAGGCCGACACCTGGCCACCTTCTCGCGTCGGCCGGGGTCGAGTCTCTACACCCTGACCACTTCGTCTCCTCCTGTCCCTGCGTCCGGTCAGGTAGCTGCGTCAGGTCAGGTGCTTGCTGCTGCGTCCCGGTCGGGTCCTGAGTCTGCCCCCTGCTCTTGTCGCCTCCTGTCTCACGAGACTCTCCTGTGGCACCACCGTCTTGGCCACCCCTCCTTGCCCCGTCTTCGGAGCATGGCTTCCCGTGTCCTTGTCTCTGGACTTCCCCAGTCTCTCCCTCCTCTCCCCTCCGGGCCAGGACCTTCCTGTGTCCCCTGTGTCGAGGGTCGCCTCCGGGCTACTCCTCACTCCTCCCACTTCCCCCCGACAGAGGCTCCCCTGCAGACGCTTCACATGGATGTGTGGGGCCCAGCCCCCGTCCGTGGGCAGGGTCACGAGCGCTACTTCCTGTTGGTGGTTGACGACTACTCGCGTTACACCACAGTCCTCCCCTTGCGCAGCAAGGGTGCGGTCACTGAGGTGCTGATCGACTGGATCCGCGAGGCTCGTCTCCAGCTCAGGAAGAGCTTCGGCTCGGACTTTCCTGTTCTGCGTCTGCACTCGGACAGAGGCGGAGAGTTCTCTTCTCGCCTTCTGCGAGACTACTGTCGTGCACGGGGGATCCGCCAGACCTTCACGCTTCCGGACTCACCACAGCAAAATGGGATTGCTGAGCGCCGCATTGGCATGGTCATGGATGTCGCTCGTACGTCCATGATGCATGCGGCTGCCCCCCATTTTCTGTGGCCGTTTGCGGTGAGGTACGCGGCGCATCAGCTCAACCTTCACCCCCGGGTCTCTCGGCCTGCGATGTCCCCAGCCTTGCTGTGGACGGGGAAGGTTGGCGATGCGTCTGTGTTCCGTGTCTGGGGATCTCGGGCGTTTGTCCGCGACTTGTCTGCGGACAAGCTGTCCCCTCGTGCTGCTCCCTGTGTCTTCCTTGGCTTCCCCGCTGACGCCCCAGGGTGGCAGTTTTACCACCCCTCCTCTCGTCGTGTTCTGTCCTCCCAGGACGTCACGTTCGACGAGTCAGTCCCCTTCTACCGTCTCTTCCCCTACCGCACTCCTTCCCTCCCCCCTCCCCCGGACTTCCTTGTGCCGGTTCCCCCCCCGGTAGACCCCCTCCCCCCTCAGGTTCCTGCCCCCTCAGGTGTGTCCCAGGTAGACGCCGTTGACCCGGTCGAGGTTACTGGTGACTCTGGTGCTGCTGCGGGTGCTGAGCCTGGGGGTGCTGACTCTGGGGGTGCTGTGCGCGGGGGTGCTGAGCCTGGGGGTGCTACTGCTGGGGGTGCTGGGCCTGAGGGTGCTACTGCGGAGGGTGCGGAGCCTGGGGGTGCTGAGCCGGGGGGTGCTGTGCCTGGAGGTGCTGGGTCTGGGGGTGCTGGGTCGGGAGCTGCTGGGCCTGGGGGTGTTGAGCTGGGAGCTACTGAGCCTAGGGGTGCTGCGACTGGAGCTGCTGAGCCTGGGGTTTCTCCTGCTGCTGCGTCTCGCCGGGAGCCCCTCTCTCCACAGGAGCTGCGTGAGTGGTTCACTCGCCGCTGGAGGCGTGCTGCTGAGTCTGGAGGTGCTGCTGGAGCTGGAGCTGGAGCTTCTTCGACCGTCGAGGGTGCGGGTGCTGCCGGTCCCGGAGCTGCTGGACCTGCGGGTCCTCCTGGAGCTGGAGCTGCTGAGGGCGTTGGTGCTGAGCCTACTGCTGTTGGTCCTGCCGCTGGAGGTGTGGGTGGCGCTGGTGCTGTCGCTGAGGGTGCTGGTGCTGTCCCTGCTGAGTCTGGAGCTGCCGCGCGGCCTCGGCCGTACTTCGTTCCGCTCCTGCAGCAGGCTCTTGGTCTTTCTCCTCCTGTAGAGGGTCCACCGCCTGTCCAGTCGCAGTCCCTGCTGGAGCCTTCCTCTCCACTGCCTGCTCCCTCTCCTTACACTGGTCCTACTGGAGGTCTTGCTGAGCGTCGTGAGCCTGCGTCTCGTCCTGTGTCGCCTGTTCGTGCTGCTCGCGCTAGTGGTCGCAGTTCGCGTCAGCGTCCTCCTCCTGTTCCTGGCACGCATCGGATGTCTTTGCGTCCGTCCACTGCTCCTCTGCGTGCCCCTTTGCCTTCTCCTCCTGAGTCCTCTCTTCCTGCGCTTGCCGACCCTGAGTCGGACTCTCTTCGTGCTGCCAGTCCTACTGTCACGCGTCTGCTTGCTACTGTCGTCACTGACCCCTCTTTTGAGTCCACTGCTGCGTCTGCTCTGGTCGCTGAGCTCGTCGACTTTGCTGCTCGCTCTCGTCTCGACTACGCTGCTAGTCTTGTTGCTGAGTCTGCGTCTGTCTGTCCTCCGTCCGTCGGGGGTGAGTGTGCTCTTGGCACGGACGTCCTAGAGGACAGGCAGGAGGAGTTACAGTGTCTAGCGGCTGCTTCACCTCATCTCGCGTCTGTACTGCTTGCCCCTGAGGGAGACCCGGATGCACTAGACATCCCGACTTCGCGTTCTTACGCGGAGGCCGTAGAGGGTCCCTACTCCTCTCAGTGGCAGGCAGCTATGGATGCAGAGATGGCTTCCTGGAAGTCCACAGGCACCTACGTTGACGCGGTTCCCCCTCCTGGGGCGAACATCGTCAGTGGCATGTGGATTTTCAGGGTGAAGCGGCCGCCGGGCTCTCCACCTGTCTTCAAGGCACGGTACGTTGCTCGTGGCTTCAGTCAGCGGCAGGGAGTTGACTACTTTCAGACCTTCTCTCCCACCCCGAAGATGACCACTCTTCGGGTGCTGCTGCACATAGCCGCTCAGCGCGACTACGAGCTTCACTCTCTCGACTTCAGCACTGCGTTCTTGCAGGGTAGCCTGCACGAGGAGATCTGGCTGCGCCGTCCACCTGGCTTCACTGGGACTTTCCCTCCTGGCACCCAGTGGAGCCTCCGACGGCCAGTCTACGGTCTCCGCCAGGCACCGCGTGAGTGGCACGACACACTGAGGACTACGCTTGCGGCTCTTGGGTTTGCTCCCTCTACTGCTGACCCGTCGCTGTTTCTGCGCACCGACACTTCACTGCCGCCGTTCTACATCCTCGTGTACGTCGACGACTTGGTCTTTGCCACAGCGGACACTGCTGGACTCGCCTACGTGAAGTCCGAGCTGCTGAAGAGACACACGTGCACAGACCTGGGTGAACTGCGCAGCTACCTTGGCTTGCAGATCACTCGGGACAGAGCACGCCGCACCATTACCTTGACTCAGTCACACATGGTGCAGCAGGTCCTTCAGCGCTTCGGCTTCACGTACTCCTCGCCTCAGGCCACTCCTCTGCCTACTCGCCACTCACTCTCAGCTCTGCCTTCGGATGAGTCCGTAGAGTCGAGTGGTCCGTATGCAGAGCTTGTTGGCTGCCTCATGTACATGATGACCTGCACACGACCTGACCTTGCATACCCTCTGAGCATTCTTGCACGCTATGTTGCTCCTGGGAGACACAGACCAGAGCACATGGCTGCAGCGAAGAGGGTATTGCGCTACCTGTGCAGTACGTCGGGCATGGGGCTAGTGCTTGGAGGGCGGAGTCCAGTGGTCCTTACCGGCCACGCGGACGCTTCTTGGGCTGACGACCAGGCTACGCAGCGGTCGTCACAGGGTTACACCTTCAGCCTTGGTTCCGGCTCTGTCTCGTGGCGGTCTACTCGCTCGTCTTCAGTTCTCGGCTCCAGTTGTGAGGCTGAGATCTACGCCGGGGCCATGGCTGCACAGGAGCTTCGCTGGCTCACCTACCTGCTGACTGACCTTGGAGAGCCGCCTCGTTCTCCTCCAGTGCTGTACGTAGACAACAAGGCCATGCTGGCCTTGTGTCGAGAGCAGCGCTTGGAGCACAGAACGAAGCACATTGCTCTCCGCTACTTTCTTGCTCGTGAGCTGCAGCAGCGTGGTCAGTTGCGACTTGCGTACGTGGCCTCTGAGGCCAACACTGCTGATGTGTTCACCAAGGCACTCGCGCCTTGTGACCATCAGCGCTTTTGCACCCAGCTGGGTCTTGTGCCTGTCTTGCCTCACTTGCTCTCCTCTTGACTTCACTTGTACTGTGACATATATATATACCTGCTCTTGCTTGTCTAGTTTTATATATATGTCTGTCCTCCTGCATGTGAACTGGCCTCTGGCCCTGCTCTTGTGCTCGGACTGTGTGGTGACTTTGTGATCCACCCTGAGCTTTGCTTTGCTTTGCTTGACTGGTCTTGTGACCCCTTGTTCTCCCCCACTTTGCCTATGGGGGTGTGTCAGAGTAATATAACTGATGCATGTTTGTAGGCTATAGTGGGGTAGCACATATGGGGTACAGCTTTCTAGGGTTGTATTTGTACCCAACTCTGACTTAGTCATTTCATTTTCCTGTTCACTTGTTTCACACTTTCGTGAGTGCTTGTACCAGTCGCACATCCCTACACAGTCTCACTTATCCAAGCGATGCGGCTGATAGGGTCTTTCCTGATCAGAACGTCGCATTCATTGAGCGACGAATGCGACGCTGGACACTTCACATTTCCCCAAGCTGACTCACACAAATCAACCCTTAGCATTTGCTGTTCCGTGTCGCCCATACGCTAGTTTATGCGATGCGGCTGATCTCGTTGCGCGCTCTGCGTATCCCAACAAAAATCGAACCCCAGTGAACGCATTAGGGGGAGATACAAATCTGGCAGTGCGGCAAGTCAAGGATGTCTCACAACTGCATCAGTTTTGCCTCCTCACCCATTTTTCTCTGCTATCGGCGATTGTTTTACGGCGGCCATATCACTCTACCTCTGCAATGGCTCTCTTAGCGCGCCCCCAGAAGGCGGGCTTGCTCGCCCTCTGCCTGCTCGCGATAGTTTCGGGATCAACGGCTGCGCCACTCGCTGGTCCCAAGTGCAAGAACCGCTTCCCCAAGTACCCGCTCTGCAAGTTTGTCAACGACATGGCCTCGTCGTTCAAACCCACCGTCGTCGACGCTGCCAGCGGCAAGACGCTTCAGATTAGCGCCTACCAAATCTACCACGTGAGTAATACCACGGAAAAGCCTTCTGTTCCGTGAAGCACCCTGTTACCGTGTTACGCCGTGCTCCTGAGTTTCTGACGAAAGTCTTTTCCCCGCATTCTTCATTGCCCTGGTCTCGCATGCGCAGAAATTTCACCGCGACCTGCCGGCGACGAAGCAGTACGCGTACGGCATGGACGTGAAGACGGCGTCGTATCCGGGGCCCATTCTGATCGCGAAGAAGGGCGTGCGCACCAAGGTGTACTAGCAGAACAAGCTGCTGGACCGCCAGCACATGTTCACCAATGACTTCACGCTCATGCCCGGCATGGCTAAGCCCAAAATGGGTGGCATTCCCATGGGTGCGTACACACCAACCTTCCTTCTCGCGTGCTAGCAATCCTTCTTTTGATCCTGCATCGCTGGCATTGCGTAGTACCTCATCCCCTCACCCCACGTATCTCCTTCCCCTTGTGCGTCGGCATTTCCCATGTGCAGTGGTGCACAGGCACGGAGGCGAGCAGGCGAGCGACTTCGACGGGCACCCCGACGCGTGGTTCACGCAGTTCGGCGAGGTTGGCCCCACCTTCAAGTCGCGCCTCTACCGCTACGGCAACCAGCAGAGCGCGTCGCTCATCTGGTTCCACGACCACACGCTCGGGTGGACGCGGCTCAACACGGTGGCGGGGCTGGCGGGCGCGTACATCATCGTGGATCCCAAGGGCGACGAGAAGAACCTCGAGTTCCTCCCGCAGCCCGGAAGCGCGCGCTACGTGCCGCTCGTTCTCGCGGACCGCTCGTTCTTTGCCAACGGGTCGATCGATTACCCGAATGTGGGGATCGTGCCGAACGTGCACCCGAACTGGGTTCCCGAATACTTTGGTAACCACCTTCTCGTGAACGGCGTTGTGTGGCCGTACCTCAAGGTCCGGCGCGCGTTGTACCGCTTCCGCGTGCTGGGCGGATCGAACGCGCGCGTGTACAACCTCAAGTTCACGTGCGCAGGGCGCGGCGACTACCCCAACTTCATGCCGCCGCTCAAGGGCCCCAGCCTCGAGATCATCCAGGTAAACCGTCCAAGTACCTATGCAGTCTGTCCCTAATGCTCGTACACCTCCCTGTTATTTCCGACTCTGCTTACTCGGCAATCTGTCTTTGTGCCCCCGCGGTTCAGATCGGTTCGGACGGAGGGTACCTGGCGGCGTCGGTGCGCATGTCGTCGCTGCTGGTGCTGCCGGGCGAGCGGATGGACATTCTGGTGGACTTCAACGGCGCGTCCGCGCACTGCAAGGACGTCATCCTCACCAACGACGCGCGCGCCCCCTACCCCGCCGGCGAGCCCGCCGACGCCAACACGGGCGTCGTCATGCGCTTTGTGCTCACCAAGCGGACCAAGATCCCCTCCCCGCCCATCCCTAGCTCCCTCGTCGTACGTCTCTTATTCCCTCCCCGCACCCATCCCCCGCACCCTCGTCTTACGTCTTGCGCTCCTTCGAACTGTCTGTACCGTTTTCCAGCGATTTCTAGTCGGGCTTTCTTTCTCTTCCCTCGGTTCATTATTGTTTCTTATTTCTCCCCCCCACACACCCGTGGAGCGAAGCAGAGTATCCCGAAGGTGGATATGGGGAGCGTGGTGCGCGTGCGGTACAACACGCTGGTGGAGATCATGGACGCCAAGACGGAGCTGCCCATCCGCGTGACCATCGACGGCAAGATGCACCACGACCCCGCCACCGAGATCGCCAAGGAGGGCACGGCGGAGCTGTGGAACATCATCAACCTCAGCGCGGATGCGCACGCCATGCACCTGCACCTCATCCAGCACCGCGCCATCTCGCGCCGCCCCTTCGACATCGCCAAGTTCCAGGCGGGCAAGTGCTCGTTCAAGGACAAGAGCAAGACCAGCTGCTACACTGGCCCGGCTGTTGACGTGAACGCGAATGAGCGCGGGTGGAAGGACACGACCCTGTCGCAGCCTGGCGAGGTGCTCACCATTTACACTCCTTTCTACCAGCAGTCGGGGGTGAAGACCTTTGAGTTCGATGCGAGCCGCGGGCCGGGCTATGTGTGGCATTGCCACATGCTGGAGCACGAGGAGAATGACATGATGAGGCCTCTCATCATCACCAAGTGAGGGCACATATGTTGATGTATGCTCTTATCCATGTAGATTGCCTGAATTTCTTAGGGCAGGATGATATCTTAAGCTTGTTGCTTTCTTATTAGATTGCTTAGTGTAGGAAGAGCTAGGTCTTCACATGGATTGATTTTCTTAGGGATAGCATATCATCTTGTAAATTGTACGGTATATTGGAAATAATATCATGCAAAATGCTATCTGAAATAAATGATATTTAGTGCTTTCAATTGTGAACTCGTATCAGGGTGATATATTGTCTGCTTATCTGATTTGTTTTCTATACCGTATAGCTTCCATTAAATCATTGGTCAAGTTTACATTATAGTGGCAGAAAAGCAGGAAAGCCAGTCTAGGGTTCTGACACCTACAGCCAGCGCCAACAGCAGCTTGTCTCTCTCCCCTCTGTCTGTTTTGAATGGGGGCGCACATCGGTGATTGGACAATGCTGCTTCGCAAAACTCTGATACAAGCATACCATCCCGAGGTTTCGCGCGCTTTCTGATTCGAATCCACATGGAACTCCACGCCACACCACCACCCTCGTTCGAGTTTTTGGCCTTCCCCCTCTCTGCACTACTGAGATTCTGCCTTGTTTCATCCCTGCACTACTCACGTCTACGCTTGGTTCCGTGCGCTGCATCCCGCGATTGCGCATTTCCTTGTCATACTCAAGTGTTACGTCGGCGAAATGCCAGACTTGTTAGCCAGGGTTCCTTCAGAGCTTCTCCCGGCGGGCCGCATCTTGCTGTGACCTCGTGCAAGTTGAACATGCTGCGGTGAAAAAACAAAAGCAGCCAGTAGTAGTTTTTCCTGAGCACTCGCGAAGTCCATATTTCATTCTATATCTCGGTTTGCTGTCTTTTATCACGTTTCCTCTTAAATCGACGTGCAATGTTTCAAATGACATCATGGAGGAGGCCAGCAGCACTGGCGTCCTTCCTACTGGCGTTAGTCGCCGTTTCAGCAGCTTCCGACAAGAACGACATGGATTCCATCTTGTCCTCTGAACTACTAACTGTAACATTTGACGAACTAACTGACGATCATTTCCACGAAGACCACGGGCTGTGGGGCCTCCGGAAGACGTCGCTTGACGACTGCGAGTTGATCGGAAAGGCGGGAATCTGCGACAGAGCGGACGCGCTGATGATCGCCGAGGTACGTCTCACCACCACGACAAAGCGAGCTGACACAAGGATCTCAAGTGGCCGATAGCCTCAAAAAGGTTTCGTACGGGGACGAAACGGAGAGTGTAAGAGAGAGGGACAGAGGATAATATACGGGGATACTTTTCCAATTCTTAGCATTTAACTGACATGCCTCTGTCCCTCATTTAGTGTCACGTCTTCCTTTTTTCTTCAGGGCGATCTGGGTTCGCGCCTGCACGCCGTTTGTGCCGCTTTCGCGGTAACGCATCTCACGGACGTTTCCACTATCGCCGTGTGGCCCAGCGACGAGCACATGCCACACATCCGCTTTGCAGACCTCTTCGCCGTCGCGAAAAACAGCACCGGTCGGAGCAGCATGCGCAGAAGAAGTGAGTACGAGGACTCGCTGTGGGTGCGCAGCGTCTCCTGGCCGATCGACCATTGGCGGGATCACCTCGAGCCCACCAGGGAGACGGTGGGTGCCTGTTGCAGTGTCCTAGATTTTCAGTAAGCGTTCTTTTTTGCTAGCTATTTGAAATAAGACACGCCAACTAAAGTCAAAGAAAATTGACTCGATTGTCATGAATTGACGGGTCTTTTCGCGCGGATTTGAAAACCGCTTGCGAGAAATCCGTGTCTTCGCCATTTTCTTTTCCTTTTCTCTCTATATCGCGGATGCCTGACCCTTATCGCTACCTGCGTCGCCGCCAATACCCCATCCAGGTGTCCGTACCAGCGTGCAGCCACGGCGGCACGGAGGTTGGGAAGCACAACCATGCCGCGGACAGTTTAGAGCTCTTCTTCTCTCCGGAAACAAACACGTGGCTGAAAGCGGTGAGTGGGTAACTGGCTGATAGAGTTGAGTGGGTCATGAATATTAAGACAAGTGCTTGAAACGAGTGGCGAGAGAGGTGTGAGTGTTGAGCCGTGCTGCGGACAGAGTCGAGCTCTTTTTCTCTCCAGGGTCAAACACGTGGTTGAGAGCGGTGGGTGGCTGAGGGAGGTTGATGGGGTTCTGTAGCAGGTAGTCTCCTTTCCCTGTTCTCCTCGCCTTTCTTTCCTCGCTTGCTGCTTTTTGCATCGTTGCTCTGACACGCACGTGTTACCCTCCCCAACTGCTCCCCACCTCATCTGAGCCGACTAAACTACCAGCCTTTTGGACCCACTCCAAAACCGTCTGCGACCCACGACTCAAAAGCCTTTTTTTTAATTCCCATGGATAACTTCGACCAGGACTCTGTTTATTCCATGCGAGTACGAGCAAACTGTGCAGGCGAGGTGCGTTTCAAGTTGACTTTGAAGTCTCCCCATCCCCCGCCCTCGCTTCTACCAGGACGCCATGGAACCGTGCAAGTACACGCAGTCCGTGCAAGCGAGAATGTTCGACTCGCCTTGAAAACCTTTCCTGGTTCCACCTTTCTTCCACCAGGACGCCATGGAAGCGTGCGAGTACAAGCAGCCCGTGAAATCGAGAAAACACTTGAGTCGACTTCAAAGTCTTCCCACCTACCCTCTCCTCCACCAGGGCGCCATGGAAGCGTGCGAGTACGAGCAGGCCGTGCAGGCGTGTCTGGCGTCGCTGCACCCGTCGCCAGCCGTCGCCGTGACCGTGGAGCGCGAGAACCTCAGTCGCATCCGCGCGTCGCACGCTGTGCTCCCCGAGGTATGCACGTGGCACGCGCATGGTGTGTGTGTGTGGGGGGGGGGGAAGAGGGTGTATGGTTAGGGTCGGCGCTGCGCCACAGTTGTCTCAGTTTTCATTATTTCCTGCCAATTCCCTTCTTTCCTCACATATCACCATCCGCACTGCTTCTCCTACGACAGTCCACTCGCCCTGCACTTACAGCGTTCCCTGCTTCCCCGTTTCCCATAGTTCCATCCCCATTTCTCCATCCCCTTAAACTTCCATCCCCATTATAGAACGGCCTCGATTACAGCGCTTCCGGGTGCGTGCAGCAAGCAGGGGCAGCAGCAGGCACGTGTACCATGAGTCAACCCAGCAGCCCCTACCTAATCACGCCCTCCCGCCCTGATTGGGGCCACGAGGGGCGGGAGCGGGAGAATGGGGAAGCAGGGACGGCGGAGGGGGAGGATGGGGAGGGCGGGTACGACCCGCCCTTCGCCCTGAGAGCCACTGAGGCCCGCACTGCCCGCTGCCGCGGGAATGAGAGGCGCGGAGGAGGTGGGAGCGCGCGGAACGGTTCTTTGGCGGGCGAGCGAGCGGGGGTTGTGGGAGGCGAGGAGGAGCAGGGGGGGGCGGAGGTTGGTGGGGCGATGGCGGACGAGCGGCTGGAATGCACTCGCCTGGAGGTGCGTGCTGGTGCAAGTGCGGCTATTGAGGTGGTATTGAGTTGCCCTGATTGGAGTGTTGATGGGGATCCGCTAGAGGGCAGTGGTGGGGCGATGGTGCACTGGAATGCACTCGCATGGAGGCGCGTGTTGGTGCAAGTGCAGGTAGAGCGCCCTGCATGGAGCGTTGAGAGCTGATTGGCGAGGTGCCTCAGAGGTAGGGAGATGAATGTGAGAGGGGAGGGCGTGGGATGTGTGACCAGGATAAACGTTTTTCTACCCATGTCTTCTTCCCCCCTCCCTTTCCTCCTCCTCCTCCTCTCCTCCTCCCCCCTCCTCCTCTCTCCTCCTCCTCCCTCCTCCCTCCTCCTCCCTCCCTCCTCCCTCCTCCTCCCTGCTCCTCCTCCTCCTCCTCCTCCTCCTCCTCCTCCTCCTCCTCCTCCTCCTCCTCCTCCTCCTCCTCCTCCTCCTCCTCCTCCTCCTCCTCCTCCTCCTCTTCTCGCTCTGAGCTTCGCCCACGGGCTGGTGGCCCCTCGCCCCCCTCCCTTCTCGTCTGTCTTACTTGTGCCCCTCACTCTTCCCCCACCTCACTCTCCCCCTCCTTTCCTCCCCCTCCCCCCCCCCAGCTGGCGGAGCTCTTCGCTCTGACCTTCGCGCATGGGCTGCGCGCCCCCTCGCCCACCTCGCCCCGCTCCCGCTTCGTGGCAGCCCAGGGCACGCGGCGCACCCGCGCCTTCCGGTTGCTGGCCCCGCCAGAGTCCCTCCCCCGCGCGGAACAGACACACCCGGGCTCCAGGAGTTGGGATGATGGGGTTTCACATGGGCAGGAAATGATCGCGAGTGGAGCTGCTGTTGAAGGTATGTGCTGGGCTACGCTTGGGACTTTCCCCGTTCTTTTTGGGGGCAACTGCAATAGGATCTTGCTTTGTGGATGCGGCTGTTGAAGAATCACCCAGAAGAGCGGCTTTGAGCTGCGATTTCTTGCTCCCCTGCGCTTTCTTCCTTTCTGTTCCCCATCCCTCACACGCCCGTTTCTCCCACTTCCTACATCTCTTCCCTCGTTGCTCTCCACCTGAGCCCTCCCTCCCTGCCTCCCTCCGTCTTGCCTCAGTGCTTCTCTCCCTTCCTTTCTCTCTGCCCGCTCTCCATCAACGCAGACGCCAGTCGAAGGCAGCTCCAGGACTCTTGGAGCTCTTTCCCTGATTCTTCTTTGACTACTGATTGGTCCTCTTCCTCCTCGTCTGATTGGTCCTCGCCCTCCCCTGGCTCGACGTCCTCTTCTGATTGGTCGAGTTCTCCTGACACATCGTCTCAATGGTCAGCTCCAGCTGACACGTCATCTGATTGGTCAGCACCTGCTGACACGTCATCGGATTGGTCAGCACCAGCTGACACGTCATCAGATTGGCCAGCACCAGCTGACACGTCATTGGATTTGTCAGCACCAGCTGACACGTCATCAGAGTGGACAGCACCATCCGACTCCTCTTCCTCAGACTACTCCTCCCCGTCGTCTGATTGGTCCGCCAGCACCACAACTTCTCCTCCTCCCCCTTCTGATTGGTCCACTGACTCCGGTGCGTCAAACTCCGAATGGGTATCCAACAACGATTGGCAGGCGCCTAGCAGCCCCTCTCCGCCGCCTTCAGATTGGTCTGTTCCTTCCCCCCCGCCGCCTTCTGACTCGACGGGAGACAGCTCGTCTTCTGGTAGCTGGTGGCCTTGGGGTGGCTTAGGTGACAGCTCAGGTGAAAGCTCAGGTGAAACAACAAGCAGCGGGGACCAGACAGCAAGTCCACCCCCCCCAAGCCCTCCCCCACCCAGCCCTCCCCCTCCTGCTGACACTTACACTGACCCAGGCACCCCACCTACCGACCCTGCATCCACTGATGCTCCTCCTGCTGATACTAACTCCTATACAGATTCAGGTGCTGCTGTGGACCCTGCATGGGGTGCTGGAACTGACCCTAATGCTGCTGCCGCAGATAACACTGCTGACCTTGCAGCTGCCACTGATGCGGCTGCTTCTTCAGGTGCTACCGACGCCTCAGGTGCTTCTTCAGGTGTTGACGGTTCCGTCTCGTTTGTGTCGGACGAGGGCAGTGACTCTAGCAGCAGTGACAGCAGCGGAGGTGACAGTAGCGATGAGGAGGGGCCTCTGACGAGCAACCCATCGTACGGTGCCACGATGGGAGGGGACGAAGCAATGGATTCGGCTACATGCAACATATACGAGGGCGAGTGGGTGTGGGACGAGGACAACCGCCCTGCTTACAACACGGAATCTTGCCCGTTCATCAACGTAAGGCTCCGAACAACCATGGTGTCCTTAGGCGTGATAATGATAGTAGTACGGGCAATAGTGATGGCAGTGTGGAATCTGTACGAGCGCGAGTAAGTGTGCGACGAGGCCAACCGCCCTGCCTACAACACGGAATCTTGCCCGTTCATCAATGTAATTACTAGAACAGCCCTGGTGAGGATGCCGGTAGTGATGATAGCAGTGGTGATAGTAGCGGTGGTGTTAGTAGCGGTGGTGATAGTAGTGGTGGTGATAGTAGCAGTGGTGATAGTAGCGGTGGTGATAGTAGCAGTGGTGATACCCGTAGTGATGTCTATAATCACGATAATGGTGGTGATAGTAGCCGTGGCTACAGTGGCGGTGGTAAGAATTCTCGTGGTGACAAGTGGCAGCGGTAATCCTTCATCCGCATGAGGTCTTGCTGCAGATCGCTGCACGGTGTGGGGGTGTGAAGGTGTGAGGGTGTGTGTGAAACCCCATTATCTTCTGACCTTGCATGTACCATATAATCTTAAGCGTTTGCCAGATCCTACTCACTTTACTTCCTACACTCCCCTTTCCTTCCCCTGTACGTCTTCTCCTTACTCCACCCCCTTTGCTTTTCCTCTCATCCCTCCCCCCTCTTCTTCTCATCCCGTCCCCTCCTGCCACTCCTCTCTTCGTCTCTCCAACCTGCTGTATGTCCACCCAAGGCCTATCCACCTTATCACCTGCATTCCCTGCGCCCCCGTCTATGCTTTCTGCACCACCTCTTGCCTTTTTTGGCCCCGTCCTGCCCACCACGGCAGTCGGTGTCGCCCACAACCAACTGCCTCAGACAGAAGTTCGGCCGCCAGGACCACTCATGGATGGTGAGTTGCGGCAGGCTGCAGAGTGTTCACTGCATGTGCTTTGAGTCGACTCAGAACTAACCTGCCTCCCAAACAACTACAACTGGCAGGACCAGTCACGGTTCCAGAGTCGCTGCAAGGCATTCATAGCGTGTGTTGCTTTGTCGGAAATCAGAACTCAACCAGCCTAGAAGGAAGTGCAGCTGGCAGGACCAGTCATGGAAGGTGAATCGCTGCAAGGCCCTCATTCTGCGGGCTTTGGGTCTAACTCGAAACGCAACCGCTTTAGAACTAAGTACAGCCAGCAGGACGAATCGTGGATGGTGTTGAATCGCTGCAGACCATGAGGGAGTTGAGAGTGTTGAGAATCTGATGGCACATCAGATCGGATTGTTCCAAGCAGTCAGTCAGGCCAATGGTCCATGCAACCTAAGCCCATCCGTCTCGCATTTTCTCATTACGCTAAGTTTGGTCTGAAGGCCCTGCATGCGTGTTCTACAGTGTCCACCTTCTCATGCTGCCATTTTGTTTTGCTGCCCCTCTGCCTCTCTCTGCCTCTCTCTGCCCCTCTCCGCCCCTGTTTGCCCCTCTCTACCCATCTCTGCCCCTCTCCACCCATCTCTGCCCCTCTCTACCCCTCTCTGCAGCGCTACTCGTGGAAGCCAAAGCAGTGTGGCGGCAACATCCTTCGCTTTCAAGCGGCCGACTTCGCCCAGAAGATGCAAAACAAGTGAGTGGAGGGAGTCCCATCGGAGGGGCTGGGGGCATTGAGTGCAGGGAGGGAAGGGAGGGCAGGGAGGGAAGGGAGGGCAGGGAGGGAAGGGAGTGCAGGGAGGGCCCCCAGTGCAGGGAGTGCATGGAGGGCAGGGAGTGCGGGGAGTGCAGAGCAGGCAGAGAGGGCAGGGAGCGCAGGGAGCTCAGGGAGGACCGGGAGGGCAGTGAGGGCAGTGGTAAGGTGATGGTTGTGATTAATAAGTCCCTTAACACCCAAGGTGTTACTGCTTGGCCCCCTGTCCACACTCACCCACCCCGCTTGTGCGTGCCAGGGTGATCGCTCCTGGTGAGCAACTCCCTCATCGCCCAAGGTGTTACTGCTTGGTCCCTCTTCACCACTCTCCACCATTGATCAATCCGCTCCACCCCTCTAATTCCCTCCACTACCGTGCCTGACAGGGTGATTGCTCTGGTGGGCGACTCCCTCATCACTGAAGGCTTCATGCCCTCGCTGCTCTGCCAGGTAGGGTCGCTGCTCTGCCAGGTAGGCTCGCTGCTCTGCCAGGTAGGCTCGCTGCTCTGCCAGGTAGGCTCGCTGCTCTGCCAGGTAGGCTCGCTGCTCTGCCAGTCCGAGTTCATTCCCTCGTTCCTCACCACTGTATTCGCCTTCTCTCCCATGCAACCCGGCCCATGTGCGCCCCCTGTCCACATGCACCCCCCCTGTCCCCATGCACCCCCCCCGTCCACATGCACCCCCCCTGTCCACATGCACCCCCCCTGTCCCCATGCACCCCCCCCGTCCACATGCACCCCCCCCGTCCACATGCACCCCCCCTGTCCACATGCACCCCCCCTGTCCCCATGCACCCCCCCAGTCCACATGCACCCCCCCTTTCCACATGCACCCCCCCTGTCCACATGCACCCCCCCCCTGTGCCCACACACTACTCCTCTCCCCATGCGCCACCCCTTCACGTCTCCCAGCTGGCGCAGGTGGGCACGGTGAGCCGCGTGGAGGGCAGTGCGCTGGGCAACTTCGTGTGGCGCCTGGACTCACACAATGTGACCGTCACCAACTACTGGAGCCCCTTCCTCATGTGGACCTCCTCCAATCCAGTGGTGCGTGGCCATACCGTGTGGTGGGTGGTCTTGGCATGTGTTTTGAAGTGTGTCTGCATACATGGGGCAGCACAATGTGACTGTCGCCAACTACTGGAGCCCCTTCCTCATGTGGACCTCTGCCAATCCCGTGGTGGGTGCTCTTGCCATGTGTATGCGTGCAGCGTGCTGCTTGCTGCTTGCTGCATGGGGCAGCACAACGTGACAGTCGCCAACCGCTGGAGCCCCTTCCTCATGTGGACGTCCGCTAATCCAGTGCTGCTGGGTGCCCTTTGCATGTGGTTACGTGCTGCACGCAGCCGGTTGCTTGCTGCGTGTGGAGGAAGTATGAGACCACACATGGAGTGGAGACCAGCCAGTAGGGGTCATCCCATCTTCTCCCCCCTGATTCCCTGCCTCTTCCCTCCCTTCTCGCCTCCCTTCTTTCTGCCCATTAGGTCATTCGCAAGCTGAGGGTGCAGGATCCAGGGCTGGGAGATACAGCAGTGAATCTGGGCGCGTTTGACCCGCAGTGGTTCGACCAGGTGCAGGCCATGGACCTCATTCTCTTCCAGTCCGCCACTCACTGGCCGCACGCCGAGCGCTGGCTGCGGCGCTTCTTTGTGGACCGCAAGTGGCACCGCCTCGACCCTGAGCCCAATACCATGACTGCGTACAAGTGAGTGCTTCTAGTTCGGTAGCTCTGACATGTGGTGCTGAGGGGTGGTGCTGAGAGGTGGTGCTGAGAGGTGGTGCTGAGAGGTGGTGCTGAGAGGTGGTGCTGAGAGGTGGTGCTGAGAGGTGGTGCTGAGAGGTGGTGCTGAGAGGTGGTGCTGAGAGGTGGTGCTGAGAGGTGGTGCTGAGAGGTGGTGCTGAGAAGTGGTGTTGAGCGGTGGTGCTGAGCGGTGGTGCTGAGCGGTGGTGCTGAGCCGTGGCTCTGCTGCCTCTTTGTGGACCGCAAGTACTACCACCTCGACCCTGAGCCCAACATCACAGAAGTGTTATTTTGAGACGTCTCATAATAACACCTACAAGTGAGTGAGTGCTTCCATTCAAGTGAGTGGAAAGGGGACCAAGTGAGTGGTGAGCGTGTGTGCTTGAGCGCCTGTGTGAGCTAAGGAAGGGTGATCATGCGAGATGGAGTAGTGGCAATGGGGATAATCTCTGGCGACTCCTAGGCGACTCTTTGACGACTCTTTGAGGCGTCTCGAAAGGGTGAGATTGCTCTTGGGCGTTCATCCACTCTGGATGTTCACAGGTGCAAAAATCATGTGAGGACAAGTGAGCGATTACATCCAAGAGATTGCTAGTTAGTTTGTTTGTTCTTCTTATGTGTATTGCCTTGCCGTCCATTGAGACTTGAGGCTGGCCTTTTCTTCATGGGTGGGCCACAGCTACAGCCACAGGTGGTGCAGACCGACCTTTAGCCTGGAGAGGTGGGGGTGTGCAAGGGAGTGCCTGTGTTGGAGTGGTTGCGAGCAAGTTGTGAGTAAGCAATAGCGCACAGCCTGTAAATGAGAGGCTTTTCTTTGAAACGTTTGAGTCGACTCAAGAGTCAAGTGCTTGTGAGTGAGTGATAGTGCACACAGCCTGTGCAACAAGATGCTTCTCTTTGTCCCACGCCTGCCTGTTCTCTCTCTTCTTTGACCCTCTCCTCTACCCCCAGGCAAGCACTCCACAAGCTGGGCAAGTTGTTCAACGCGGGCAACAGCAAGCGCTGGGACCTGCCCGTGCCCTACTTCCTCTCCGCTCCTCCCCACCTCTCCATTTGAGGTGCCTCAAAACCCGCTCTCCCTCTCGTAACCCACCCCCCTTCCCCCAGGCAAGCACTCAACAAGCTGGGCAAGTCGTTCAACGCGGGCAACAGCAAGCGCTGGGACCTGCCTGTGCCCTACTTCCTCTCCGCGCCTCCCCGCCTTGTTAACTGCCAGGGCTCCTACGCCCCTGCCAACAGATCCACGGTGAGTTGGGTGTGCTGTGAAAATCCAGAGTATGTGTGTGCGTGTGTGTGACGCACAGTACGTGCTCTTTGCTGCAACAAGCCCTGTTAACTGCCAGGGCTCCTACGCCCCTGCCAACAGGTCCACGGTGAGTTGCGTGTGCTCTGACTTCTAAGCATTGGCACTTGCACCTCACATACTCAACATAACCGCAACTGCTGCAGTTGAACAGCCCCCCACACACACAACCCTGCACCTCTATGATTTCCCTCCCCATGCCTTGGCATCTCTGTACGGTACAAGCACATGGTATGCATGAACCCTCAGAGACGTTTCTAGAGAACACTGAAGGAACTTCCATGGTCACCCTCACCGTGCCTTGGCAGCCCTGTGCACCACGTGCACATGGTGCGCAAGAACCCTCACAGGTGATTTCTGAGTTGACTCATGAGAACTCTCACCCCCCTCCCTACCTGTGCCTTGGCATCCCTGAGCAGTACGAGCACATGGTGCGGGGGAACCCTCAGAGCCGCAAGTGGTTCCCTGCACAGCGGGACGTTCTGAGTCCCAGCAAGAACATTCGCTTCGTGGACATCACACACCCGTCGCTGTACAGAAGCGATGCCATGCTGGCGTCGCAGGCCCCTGAGAGCAAGGACTGCCTGCACCCGTGCCTGCCCGGGCTTCCTGACATCTGGGTGGACCTGTTCTATGAAGTCTGGAAGGCCGACCCGGAGTTCAACAGCTGATGCTGACGCTTGTCATCGCTCTACCGCAGCGATGCCATGCTGGCATCCCAGTCCACTAACAGCAAGGGCTGCCTGCACCCGTGCCTACCGGGGCTTCCTGACATCTGGGTGGACCTGTTTTAAGAAGTTTGGAAGGCTGATTCTGAGTTTAATAGCTGATGCTGCTGACAATTGGCTGGGTGCTAACCTAGGAGCTCATTACTGCACTCACTCGTGCAGCGGCTGAGCTCATTCTGAACAATACTTATATGCTTGCTTGCTTGTTTCTTATTGAGATGGGTGCGAATCGCACGCACCCGTAGTTTCTGTTAGGAAATGCGGCTTTTGCTTGATCAACGGTGGCGTGCATGATGCTTTCAAGAATAATTGAAAGAAGCTACGGTACCACACTCCAGCAAGTTGTTCAGGATTTATTGTTTGATAGAGACACAGGTGGCATGGTTTTGGAGCTGTCCAACATGTAAATTGTTGAGCGCATCTCTGACTTATCCTTCAAATGGACTCGTACCGGTATATAACATGAAGGTTGTAGTTGTAGTACCTTGCATAATTTTTTCTTGGTGTCTTAACCGAGCTGGGGCGGTATGTCTCTGTAGATGGTATACCAGAAACTGATGTACCTACCAATATCAGGTGCAAGGGAAACCTCGATTTCGGATTTGCCCCATCCCCGACAACCCCGATGATCGAAATCGAAAAGGCCTTCTTCAACCATCACCTCCATTTGCATTCCTGTCGTCGCCTGTCCTTTTACGCTTCTCCGAGCCAGACTGGGTCGCTCACCCGACCATCACCTCATCTCCTGCCCCGTCTTACCTCGGGAGTCTCGGGATTCAGTTCCCAAACCTCACTTAGGGATTCACGCCGAGGCAGTTTTTCTTACCAACATGGCTCGTATGTCACCTACGAGTAGTATCTGTTTCGCCTGCGCATTCCAGTATTCTAAGATTCGCATGCGCGTCCCGCACCTAGACTGCTTTCCCGCAGTTCTCGCCTCGCTAGGCTTGGTGTTCGAACCAGGCTAGGTCCGCCGCTCCTATTGGCTTGTTTGTTGCGGAGCGTCGAAGTCCTGTTTCGAGCGTCGTAGCGAGTCCACCGTCAGGTAGGCTTCCGAGAAAGACCTCAGCTTGTACTAGCTGATTGGCTAGCATTTGTCCATATGGCCGAATCAACCGCGAACCGAAAAACCTGCGTCGCGAGAAGGGAAGGCGGTGTTATAATGGTAGCCATGAACTGCGCTCTAGGCTAGGAGCTATCTCTCTTGAATTTCGTCTGCGGTTTGGCATACTATGCGGTGAGAGGCAGAAGCGGTCGAGGCAGATTTCGGTGTCGGTGAGAGGTGCTTGTCGCGATCTTAGCCGTTGCGAGCGGCGTGATTTGACCGCGAACGGGAATGTGATGGCCCGTTTCTCCGTCTTATCCGTATCCTTCCGAAGGAATTTGACCCAAGCCAACCAGCTTGGGGAAATGGTGATGGATAGAGCAGGTAGCCTCGTTTCCATACGCGGCGCGAGCCGAGGGGCCTTGCAAAACAATGTCCTGTGCAACGAAATGCTTTCGGAATGCAAGAGCTCGACGCGAACGCGAGTCCCAAGCGTGCAAACGAGACGCCTCTCGTCTCTCTTCGTTCCTCGTTCCTGGGACTCGACCTTGGGGAACCGGCGACCCACTTTCCAAAAACTCTTTGTCCCGCACCCGAAGCGCCGTGTTTTCGCCTCTAGCGACGTGGTTGCCTGGTCGAACCGAGGCGTAACTACCTCCCTTCTCCATTTCCGTCTTGCCTCTCGATCTTTACCCTCGTTTCCTTCGATCTTGGCCCTCAAAGCCCTCCTTGACCTCCTCCCCCTCAACCACCTCGTCCTTCCGTGAGCCGCCTCCTGCGACCCCCACCAACCCAACAACCACAAGAAGAATGTCGGCCCTAATACCACCTGCACGCCCTGCGCTGCCAGCTGACGAGAGCCGTTTAAAGGTCGAATGAAAGGCCGCCGCAACCTGTTGAGTCATCTCGTTGCAATCCCGTCCCAGGCTCCTGTTTCCCACGAGCATCCTCGTTTCTCCGCGAGGACATCTGACAGCAGTATCTTAAAACATTCAAAGGCCTTTCAGAGGCCTTTGATTACTCCTAGCTTCGGAGGGTGTTGGTACCTTCGAGTTTAAATTATGGCGTCTGGCAGCTCTCATCTTAGGAGGTTACGGTTACCAGCAAGCACACCCGCGTGTTTCATGAAAAAGAGGGCTGCGAGCCCTCATTCTATTTTCGGGGAGTCCTGCCTGTATTTATCGCCTCTGCTGCTCTCAGTGACTGTCGCTCTAGCGCTGTGCAGTCCTGCTCGCGTTGCTGCTGTGCGGCTCCCTGGGTCCATGGGCAAACGCACCCCATCCACGAGTATGATGCGGGACGGATGGCATGCTGCTGCTGGCGGTGGCGCTGCCGACTCTAACACTCCTGCTGCTACTTCGACTAGTGATGCTGTTGCTGCTGCGGCGGCTGCTGCCGCTGGTGCTGCTGATTCGGCTGGGGCAAGTGCGCCTGTGGGTGGTGAGTTCCCAGTGCCTGGTGGCGGCCCGTACAAGAGGGAGGAGCTTCTTCCAAGCTTCATTCTCCATCACAGCGGCTACACGAGCGCAGCAGGGGGACAGGAACCATCAGCAGGCTTAGAGCAAACAGCAGCAGACGCAGAAGAGCCATCAGTAGCAGACGCACCTACAACGCTTCCAGAGGACGAGGAAAATGCCCCAACTCCAGAAGCAGCCGCAGCAGCAGCAGAGGAGGCAGCAGCAACTGGAAATGCCTCTGCCTCTGCTTCTGCCTCTGCTTCTGCCTCTCCCTCTGCGTCTGCCTCTGGTCGCGGCTCTGGTCAGGGCCCTGCCAAGGGAGGCCTCCTGCAGCGCGCCTCCCAGGGCCTGCTGTCGTCCCTGAGGTGCCGCTTCTCCAGGGGCGATCCTGCGTGCACAGACGCTACCCCGGCCAAGGGGAAGGCTGCGTGGAGGGTGGTGGAGGCTGCTTCCAGTGATGGGTTTGTGCGGCGTGTGGGGCGACAGCTGTGGCTGCGAGGCAAGCCGTTCTATGTGAACGGGTGGAACACGTACTGGCTCATGTATATTGCCAGCATTCCAGACAAGAAGTATCTGGTACGTTGCATGACATTTGTGCTGTGACGTCTCTTAACACGCTTACGTTCATGCGTTACCTGATGTGATGTGAATGGGTGAAACACGTACTGGCTCGTGTATATTGCCAGAATCCCTAACAAGATGCACCACTCGTCTTCATCTCCCCTTCCGTTCCGCCACCCCTCACGTTCTTCCTTGAACCACCAGGTGAACCAGGCGCTGAGCCAGGGGCGCATGGTGGGCCTCACGGAATGACCAGCCTTGTTATCCCAACCTCCAAACTTCTTATCCTTGCCTTCTCTCTCACTCTCGGCCCCACCAGGTGAACCAGGCGCTGAGCCAGGGGCGCAGCATGGGCCTCACAGTGTGCCGCACAGGGGCATTCTATGATGGCCCGGGCTGGCATGCGCTGCAGACCAGCCCTGGCGTGTTCGATGAAAACACTTTCAAGGTGCGTGCAAGTGACCTCTGGTGGGTGGGACTCGAGGAATCGAGTGTGGCTTGAGGTGGGTGCGACTCGAAGAAACAGACAGATGACGGGCCATTGCACCATGCACGCGCCCCTGCACGCACGCGCCCCTGCATGCACAGTCCCTCCCGCAATCACCAACAAGTCCGGTATGCAATGCGGACTTCACAGGCAATTCCACTGAAGCGTCCTGCTGTCTCCATCTCACCCGCCATTCGCCCTCAAATCCCTCGTTTTCGTCACCCTTTCTTCCCCGCATCTCACCCCCCATTCGCTCTTTTCCTGCGTCCTCCCCGTCTCTTACACCTCTCTTGTTCTCTTCAGGCCCTAGACTATGTGATTTTCACGGCCAAGAGGTTTGGAATCCGGTTGCACATGGTGCTGAACGGCAACTGGGACGACTATGGAGGCAAGAACCAGTACGTCAAGTGGAGCGCTGCAGCTGGGGGGAACCCTCCTGCCGACGACACAGCCTTCTTTGTTGACCCTCTCTGCCGCACATTCTACAAAAACTTTATCAAGGTGCAACACTGGCATGCTGGTGGTGCTTGTGTGCAGAGCAGTGTGGTACGATGCAGTGCGGTGTGATGCAGTAGAGTGATGCGTGGTGCAGGGCTGTTGCCCCCCTCTTTGCGCAAGGCTTCACTCACGAGGGGCAACACAATCAAAGTCCTGCTGTATTGCGTCAACCCCTCACAAGTTAACGATTATCACCTGACGCTTTCCCCTCCTGAGTCCCCTGACACATTCAACGATGTGCTGAATTCCCTGACCCTTCCGCCTCCCTCTCCTCCCCTTGATTCTCATCCATCTCTCCTCACGGCAGGCGGTGCTCACCCGCCGCAACACGCTCACAGGCCAGCTGTACCGCGGCGACCCTTCACAGGCTCATTACCTCTTCCCCACCCTCGCCCCTCACTCCTCAAATGCCTGTCCAATTCTCCCGTGCCAGGCGGTGCTCACGCGGCGCAACATGCTCACGGGCCAGCTGTACCGCGATGACCCCACCATCTGATTAGGTGTCCTCCCCCCTTCTCGTCCTCGATTACCTTGTTTTCCCCACTGCAGGCGGTGCTCACGCGGCGCAACAAGCTCACAGGCCAGCTGTACCGCGATGACCCAACCATCTTCGGCTGGGAGCTCATGAACGAACCCCGGGTGTATGCTGATCCCTCAGGAGACGTCCTGCAGGTAAGGCCTCCGCAGCACAGGTAAAAGTGTTGTCCACCTTTCACGGATTCGGCTGGGAGCTCATCAACGAGCCCCAGGTCTACGCTGATCCCTCAGGGGCCGTCCTGCAGGTAACAAGAGAGAAGTGGGGAGTAAAGAGTGGGGAGTGGAGATTAAAGAGTGGGGACCAGCGAGTGGGAAAGAGAGAGTGTGGAAGAGAGATTGGGGTTGAATAGAATCTGAAGATCTAGGATGCGAGTGCATTCGAGTTTCAGGATTTCCATTGACGCAGTAGGTAGCATAGGTCAAAGCCTCTGGATACAAACTCCTGCACCGCATCGTCTGGGAGACGACCCGTCCACAGCACACGGAGCCCTCTGTGCCATCGGAAATCCATTTTTGAGTCGACTCCAAGATTGGAATTCACCCTTGATCGTTTCTGTGCTCTCGACTTTTCTCCTTTTCTATCGTTCATACCTCCCCAGGGAGCACGGACATGGCAGCGTACGACAATTAGAGCGAGGCAAAGGCACTCAACCCCACTCCTCACTTTCTGTCCTGTTCCCTCTTTGCTCACTCCTGTATGCCTTCTCCAGGCGTGGATAAAGGACATGGCAGCGTATGTCAAGTCCCTGGACCCCAACCATCTGATCTCCATGGGCTCAGAGGCCGTCTATGGCCACTCCACACCGGAGCATTTGAGCGAGGCAAGGCACTCAACTCCTGCCCTCAATTCTTTCTCTCCTGTCCACACTCCGTGCTCGCTCCCATCTCCCCCAGGCGTGGATCACGGACATGGCAGCACATGTCAAGTCGCTGGACCCCAACCACCTGCTCTCCATCGGCTCGGAGGGCTTCTACGGCCCCTCCACTCCGGAGCGAGCCAAGGCGCTCAATGCGGAGTGGTGGATGATGAACGTGGGGACCGACTTTGTCAGGAACAACAAGGTTCCCGGGATTGACATTGCGTCAGTGCACGCATATGCAAATAGCAGGTAAGAAGGGGGTAATTAGCAGGTGATATGTGTTGGGAAGGTGGGGCTTTGGAAAGGTTTATGCGGAGGGGTGGATGGTGAACGTGGGGACGGACTATGTCAGGAATAACAAGGTTTTTGGGATTGAAATTGCATCAGTGCTTACGTATGCCAACAGCAGGTTAGAGGGAGTGTTGAGCAGGTGAGAGGGAGTGATGAGAAGGTGAGAGGGTGTGAGGTGTGCTGGGAGGGGGGGGGGATGAGGGAGAGCTCAAGGCGGAGGGGTGGATGGTGAACGTGGGGACGGACTATGTCAGGAATAACAAGGTTTTTGGGATTGAAATTGCATCAGTGCATACGTATGCCAACAGCTGGTGAGAGGGAGAGTGATGTGTGTTGGGAAGAGGGGATATGGTGGAGTGGTTGATGCTAAGCGGTGGATGATGAACTTAGGGCGTATTTGCGGGCTCTCGAGAGAGACTTTATGTGCAACACCAAGGTTCCCAGGATTGACATTGCCTCTCCCCACCCTCCTCCCTTTCAGGAACTCTGTGTCTGCATGGAGTGACAAGCTCGTATGCTTCACAAACTTTGTGAAGCGGCACTTGGAGGATGGGGACGGGGTGCTCAACATGCCCGTGCTCAACATGCCCGTGCTCAACATGCCCGTGCTCAACATGCCCGTGCTCATTGGCGAGTTTGGCCCCGAGAGCATCAAGCAGATGACCTCCTTGTCTCAACTCCTTCCTTCCTTCCTCCTCTCTCCCTCCTCCCCCCCTCCTTCCTCCGCCCTCCTCCCCTTCAGGTACTCTGTGTCTGCATGGAGCGACAAGCTGGCATATTTTACAAACTTTGTGAAGGGGCACTTGGAGGATGGGGACGGGGTGCTCAACATGCCTGTGCTCATTGGCGAGTTTGGTCCCGAGAGCATCAAGAAGCTTCCGGACGGCAGCATGGCACGGCGCAACGAGGTGTACAGTGCGCTCTATCAGATTGTGCTGGATTCGGTTAAGAAGAGAGGCTCTGCTGGCGGTATGTGTGTGTGATGCTGCCTGCATGTGTGTGCCTCCGTCTGTGTGTGTGTGTGTGTGTGTGTGTGTGTGTGTGTGTGTGTGTGTGTGTGTGTGTGTGTGTGTGTGTGTTTGTTTGTGCGTGTGTGTGTTTGTGTGTGTGTGGCCCTGCGTGCCTGTATGTGCCGCCGTGGGTGTGTGCGTGCATGAGGCGCCTCGCAGCGAGGTGTACAGTGCGATGTAATAGATTGTGCTGGATTTGATTAAGAAGAGGGGCTCTGCTGCTGGTACGTGTGTATGGTGCTGCTGCCTACCTGTGTGTGTGAGGAGAAAGGGGGAAGGGGGGTATGTTGGCGTGCGGTATGAAGACTGCATTATCTTTTCTTCAACTTCCTCTCCTCCGTCCCTCTCTCATCTGTTCCCAGTACGTCTCCCCTTCCTCTCGCTCGCGCCACCAGCCACCATGTTCTGGCAGATCATGGCTGACGACCTCTGCTCATGGGACGACAGCAAGGGGCGGTGGCATAGCAGCAAGGATACTGAGCAATCACCCTTTTCTCTTCACCTCCCTCCCCTTCCCTTCCCTCTCCTCTCTGTCTGTCTCCCGGCACCAGCCACCATGTTCTGGCAGATCATGGCTGACGATCTCCGCTCGTGGGATGATGGCATTGCAGTCTTTGCATCGAACCCTGCACATGCCAAGACAGTGAGCATCATATCCGCTCAGTCCAAGGCGGTTGCTGCTGCCACGAGAAGTTAGGTGCTTGTTTTAGCTTGAGGGGGGAAGCTGGTATAAATTCAGTTAGCATCGAACCCTGCACTTGCCAAGACAGTGAGCATCATATCCGCTCAGTCCAAGTCGATTGCTGTGCCGCAAGGAGTTCAGGATGACAGACGAAACGGGTTTTTTGGAGGTGATCTCTTGAAAATGTTTCTGTTAATATGTATGCATTTTCTCTAACGGAGTATTATGGACAGCATCACAAGCAGGTCAGGATAAAGGAGGGATGTAAATGTGAACATGGGAGTGCAAAACAATGATGTCTGAGTTTTGCAAATACTTCAACATTACAAACACGTACACAGCATTCCAGCAGATAATTCATTCCAGAAGGAAGAGCACTAAATTCGGACAACTGAAGCACCCGCAGATTCAAACCAGTGAGTTCTATAGTACATAAGCACCATGCCTGCACGCGACACCATCTGACACAACACTAACGAATCCTTGTAAACCCTGTACAGTGTGCAGCAAAGCTCCCAAGTTCCAACCACAGTAATTCCCCAACCACTTCTAGTATATCCGCGACCAGCCATAATCCCTCAACAAGTAGTTCTTCCTAAACTCGTTGCTGCGCGCAATTGCCTCCGCACTAGGCTTGCGCGCCCAGGGGGCCTTCTTTCCGCGCAGGCTGTTGCACCACGGGGTGCCCGTCTGCCCCGACGCCTTGCACGTGTAGTGCAGGTCGAAGCGGCGGAACATGACATCCGTGGGACCGTTGCCCCAGTTGGGCTTTAACTTGCTCCACGCGGAAGCGTCCCAGATGGAACCCTGGAGTGTTAGGGTGGGAGGATACGAGTCGTCATGGGAGGAAGAGGGTGAAGGGATAATGAGCTTCGATGACAGCCACGTGCTATGAACCCATTTCATATCTAAAAAGGTATTAGGTCTACGGAAGTTGGAAATCGAGGATATTTCTTCTAGAATGGCGGGATTTTTACAGCTAAGAAGCTACGGAATATGTTACGGAATCACCACGTACCTCGAACTTGACGTTCTCGGACGGGAAGGGGCGGCCGCTCTCCTTGTAGTGAATGCGGATGGGGGTGTCATCGACGGCCCACATGACGTAATCCCGCGAATAGACGATGGTGTAGGTGTGGAACGCGGCGGACGGGTCGAAGGGGAACTTGTACTGCTGCAGGTACACCTGCCCGTCCGTGATCAGATTCGTGTGCAGAATAATATCCCTGGGGGTATTTCCCCCGATAAATTCCAGGTCAATCTCGTCGTGCAAGTCGGTGTATTTTGGGCCGTTACCCGACATAAGGTAGATACAGGGGATTAAACCGCCGGAATAACCCGAAGGGAGCTTCATGTTGACTCTGAAGATTCCGTAGCCGAAGTAACCCTTGGAGGTGAACTCTGTCGCATTGGGGGGAGGAGTGGTGGGAAGGCGGGGAGGGGAGGCGGGGAGGGGGAACGGATTGTGAGGAGAACAGGGCAAGGGATGATCCAAGGAAATGTGAGATGAAAAGGGGGAAAAGGGAAAAGGGTGCGGGGATGGGTTTGTGGGAAAAAGGGGGAAGACAGGACAAGGGGGAAGATGGGGGCACTGAGAGGGTATTGACATCAAGTACAACTGCATAATAACACTAACAATGATATTGATAATGCGCACTAACTGGGCTTTTTTTAGGCGCCCCAAACAAACATCTCAATGGGCCGACCGTAACGCGCTCTCTTCCCGCAATGCGCTCACTCTCTCTCGCCCCTCCCCCCCCTCTCCCCCAATCCCGTGATGCACTCGCTGCGTGTGATGCTCTCACTGCCCGTGATGCTCTCGCTGGCCGTAGAGCACGCGCCGCACCTTTTGCCTGTTAGTATGCACTTACTGCCCATCTTATCCCAGTAGGCGGAGAGCTTCACGGAGCCGTCGTTCTGGCGAGAGCAGCCGCCATTCCACTTGCAGAAGTCGGGGAGAGTCATGAGATTGTCGAACGACTTGTCGTGCTTCGCCTCTGCGGCCGCGGCGCACGCCAGCAAGGCGACCAGAAACAGGAGGCGGCTCCGAGCCGTCCCCATGGCTCTCAGGAAAAAGAGTTGCAACCAAGAATGTCGGCAGTGTGGGATAGTGCAACTTACTACGTTATTTCTACTTTATATATGTTTCACCAACTAGGTCATGCTGTCCTCTGCGAACCATGCCAAAGCGTCGCAGCCGGAACGTCAGGAATATCAGATTCAGGTACGTCACGCTTTTCTTTCTCTAATCTAAAATACATACGGAAGTTAGAGCATTAGGGTGGAAGCATGTGGGGAGGTAATAGGCCGGAACAAGCAGTTGCTGTCATTATGAAATGTGAGAATGCGAGGGCTACTATTTCAATGGACTTAGTTGGCCCTGCTTTTGGACACTACTATCACCGCGCCTCGTGAAGAACTAAGTGGAGAGGAGGGTCGGTGGCAGAATGTTGTGGAGGGGGGAAGAATGTTGTGTTGCGCATTACGGAAGGGGGAGAAGGGGGGGTTGAGGGGAGAGGGGAAGTTGCGCTCGTTGTGTCCCAAATGCACCCCCCAACCTTCACCCGGCGGCACCTTCGCAATCACAGACCCGCCGCCACATTCGACTGCGCCGCTTCCCTGAATTTCACGCGTCGCCAGCAAAGAGAAACATGGTTGCAACTTGAAAGCAACCAAAGATACAAATACACTACACTGTTATGAATGAACTTGCAGAGTGCGCAGAATATGGAATAACGAGAATGAACTGATTACTGAATTATTGAATGACGATACAATGAGGAAAGCACGACTAAATAGGGGAAGTCCTAGCTAGGCGGAGAGGTTGGGCGAGGGTGGCTCGGTGATGGTTGCGATTGGTGCGGAGGCGACTCGGGAGTGGTTCGGTGCGACGAAATAGGAAGGACAGGTTCGTCGCGTGACCCTCGGGATGGCCTCGCTAACGAGTGCCCCAGTAAGGATTCTGTAAATCCTTACACTCTCCCACCTTCTAAATAAGGCAGTCCTGTACTGAAACAGGCCCCACATTAGCGAGGATTACTTATATCTCCTCTTCAGCTGAATCCGACGGCCGAAAATGCCTTTGACAATAATTTTGAGAAGGTTGGAATGTAGGCCGTTGATGAAGCAGATGTGGATCTGACGGTCGAAGACTGACGCGAGATTGGAGGGAACCTGCTGACGCGAATTCAAACGCGATTGAGCAGGGACCGTTGATCGTGTCGGTGTGATCGCGATCGTCCGTCGTGCTAACGCAACCTGACAAAGTCAGAAAGGACCGAGAAAAACGCCGAGGAAAGAACAGTGCAAAGCACTTTCTCCCCCCCTCCAAGAAAGCACACCAGAAAATGTGTCACAGCTACGCCGAGATGAAAACCAACAAAAAGCCAGGCGTTAAGTCCCACGAAGAAGAGTGTTGAGCGGAAAGTTGATGACGAAATCGGGTGTGACGTGCCCAAAAAGTCTCAAGGGCGAACCCGCGTAAGTAGACCAGAAACCGCGGCGGAAATTATGCGTTGTTCGAACTGAACTTGTTTTTGTCTTCACACGCCAGAATCATGCAGTATCTGTCATAACATTATAGCTTATGCTGTTGTGTAGGCTATAGTGGGGTATCCCATAGGGGGTACAACACAATTAGGGTTTCCTATATGTACTCACTTCATTCATAGTTCATTCATTTCACGTTCTCATTCTTCACATGGAATCAGAGCAGGTCCCCTCCTAGGGACTGTTTCTAGGGCCCACCGAAGCGCGCCCCGAGGCGCGCTCTCCTTTTCTTTAGCGACCCTTCGTGTCGCCCTTCCCCTCGCGGCCTCGCCGCCCTTCCCTGCGGCCCCGCCGCCCCTCTCTCGCGGCCCCGCCGCCCTTACGACGCGGCCCCGCCGCCCTTCTCCACGCGGCCCCGCCGCCCTCTCGACGCGGCCCCGCCGCCCTCTTGACGCGGCCCCGCCGCCCTCTCGCCGCGGCCCCGCCGCCCTCTCGACGCGGCCCCGCCGCCTTCTCGACGCGGCCCCGCCGCCCTCTTGACAAAGCCCCGCCGCCCTTCAGACACGGCCCCGCCGCCCTCTCGACGCGGCCCCACCGCCCTCTCGACGCGGCCTCGCCGCCCTCTTGACGCGGCCCCGTCGCCCTTCAGTTGCGGCCCCGCCGCACCCACGTAGCGGCCCCGCCGCCCTCTCTCCGCGGCCCCGCCGCCCTCTCCACGCGGCCCCGCCGCCCTCTCTCCGCGGCCCCGCCGCCCTACCTACGCGGCCCCGCCGCCCTTGAGTCGCCGCCCAGCACCGGCCGAGCCGCCCAGCAGCAGCCAAGCCGCCCGGCATCAGCCGAGCCGCCCAGCAGTAGCCGTGCCGTCCAGCAGCAGCCGAGCCGCCCAGCATCAGCCGAGCCGCCCAGCAGCAGCCGAGCCGCCCAGCAGCAGCCGGGCCGCCCAGCATCAGCCGAGCCGCCCAGGAGCAGCCGAGCCGCCCAGGAGCAGCCGAGCCGCCCAGGAGCCGCCGAGCCGCCCAGCAGCGGCCGAGCCGCCCAGCAACAGCCGAGCCGCCCAGGAGCCGCCGAGCCGCCCTGCCACCGGGCCGCCCGACCTGCCCTGTCTGGTGAGCACGGCACCGCCCCACTGCTACTGCGTGCCCTTCCCCTCTGCTTACACTGCTAGTCTGTCGTCATGGCTACCCCCAGTGTCCTCGCTTTTGACGCTGAGGGTCGAGCCATTGACTTTGAGGTCTGGGTCGACGACCTGCAGTTGTTTTTACAGTGCGATAGGGCTGACGGTCTTTCTCTCTTTGACCTCACCTCTGGCGCCTCTCCTGCTCCTGCTGCTGATGCTGACCCCACTATTCGCTCTCAGTGGGCCACCCGCGATGCTGCTGCACGTCTTCCTGTGCGTCGCCACTTGCCCACCACTGAGCGCGCGCACTTTAGTCAGTACAAGAGTGCTCAGACCTTGTACGACGCTGTAGTTGCGCGCTACTCTTCCCCTGCCACTGCTGCACTAAGCCGTCTCATGCTACCGTACCTCTTTCCTGATCTCACTGCCTTTCCCACTGTCGCTGACCTCATTACGCACCTCCGCACTAGTGACACTCGCTACCGCGCCGCCCTTCCTGCTGAGTTCTGCGCCAAGAACCCCCCCCCCATGTACATCGCTCTATATTACATAGTCACTCGCCTCCCTGACTCCCTTCGCGTAGTCAGGGACCACTTTCTCTCAGTCTGTCCCACCACTCTCACTGTTGATCTCCTCGAGAAGGCCCTCCTAGCGGTAGAGAAGAGCATAGTCGCTGTAGGAGCCTCCCGTGGAGACCCGCGCACCCCCATCTTTGAGGGGTGTTCTCCTTCCCCCCTGCTGCCCTCTGTTGCCTCTGCTGCTGCTGCCGACCTGCTTGGTCTTGAGTCGGTCGGCGCGGCGTCTGCCCCTAGTGGGAGACGCCGCCCTGGCAAGGGCAAGGGGGGCAAGGGTGCGGGTGGAGCTGGCGGGGGCGGTGGAGGTGGCGGTGTAGGCGGCGGAGAGAGTGGGGGTGGCGGTGGGAGTGGTGGCGGGAGTGGTGGCGGGAGTGGTGGCGGTGGCGGCGGCAGCGGCGGCGGAGGTGGTGGCGGCGGAGGCGGTGGGAGCGGAGGCGGTGGTGGTGGCGGAGGTGGAGGCGGTGGTGGCGGAGGAGGTGGAGCTGGTCGGGGTAGTGCCCCGCAGCGGAGCGGCTCTGGTGGTGGTCCGCGGCAGCAGCAGCAGCGTTCTCGGGACGTCCCCACGCCTCAGCAGCTCCGTGAGTGGTACACGCAGAGTCAGCGTGGTGGAGGCTTTAGGCCGTGCACCTACGTTCTTCGCAGCGGCGACCGCGCGGGTGAGCAGTGTGGGGGTGCCCACTCCACCCGGCGCTGCTTTGGCCGTCTGACGGATGCCTGGTGTCAGCAGTTCCCTGACGCTTCTGAGATCCCCCGCTGGGGAGAGCTGTCTAGAGCTGGTGTAGCGATCTTTGAGCTAGACTTTGATGCTATCCTTGCTGCCATGTATGCTGTGTCTATTAGTGATGAGGGTGACTGTTACCGGTGTTTCCCGCCCGACCCGCGCATTGGTACGGCTGCGCTAGGTGCCTGTGACACTGCTGCGCTCTCAGGTGCTGGTGAGGCTGCGCTCTCAGGTACTGGTGAGGCTGCGCTCTCAGGTACTGGTGAGGCTGCGCTCTCAGGTACCGCGTCGGCTTCGGCCTCCCTCACCTTTACACTTGACTCTGGGGCTTCTCGCTCCTTCTTTCGGGACCGCACCACACTCACGCCGCTTGGCCGGCCGGTTGCGGTCTCCCTGGCTGA